TGGAATTCTTCCGCCCGGCATTGTCTTTGTATCCATTTGCGTGCTCACTTTTTGTCTTTCCTGTCATTTCATCTTATATCATATTTTTGTTTCTTAAATGTTTCTTCTATTCTTCCTAATCTTCATCACATATATTTATCGTTGTATCATTATTTATTTTTATTATTTAATATATGAATATTTGTACTCTTTTTGTGAGGAAGGGGGAGGTTGTGGCCCCTGAGACGTGTTGGCTGTTCTATGCAATGCTGCTGTACAGTGCTGGGCAAACTGTTGGCATTTAATACATCCTGTAAATCCTCCCCACTGGGGAGATTCTGTCACATTCTGACCTGTGTCACTGGTACATAGTGAGGGGAAAGTACAGATGGTGACAGCTGAAGACGATTTTACCCTCAGCTTGGGGAGATTTGGGCTCACCTCTTATGGGGGGAGGGGGGGGGGATCTAACCCCTCCCCCCACTCTATCCAAAGCTAAAAAAAAAAGAAAGTCTGGGCTGGAGATCCCCTTTAATATGATAGAATGTGAAGTCACCATAGTGGGTGTCCTGCAAACTTCAAGTCTGGTACACTGGGTATCAGTTAGGAGCAGGTATCATTTGGGGTTGGGTATTAGTCAGGGGGAGGTATCAGTCTGGAGTGGGTATCTATCAGGGGCAGGTATTGGTCAGGAGCAAGTATTAGTCAGGGGCGGGTGTTAGTCATGGGCGGGTACCAGTTGGGGGCAGGTACCAGTCGGAGGCAAGTATCGATCAGGAGCTGTTTGTCGGGGGCGCACTTGAATAACAACATCAAACAGCAGACCACCTTATACCAACCCCTGATACATATCATTCTTGATTTTATTACCCCCTCCCCCATTCTTCATGTTTGCAGTGCCGGGATTGGCAGAACGGGCACGTTAATGGCTCTGGATATTCTCCTGAAGATGGCGCACGCGGTGAAGAAGGTGAACGTGTATAACTGTGTGTCCGGGCTGCGGAAGAAGAGAGTGAAGATGGTGCAGGAAAAGGTGTGTTCATGCCCCCTTGTTCTCCTTTATCTTACATAGTTACATAGTATTTGAGGTTGAATAAAGACATTAGTCCATCAAGTCCAACCTATTGCGTGTATGTGTGTGTGTACGGTCCTACTGATGTGTGCGTATGTATAGGTCCCTGTGTGTTCTAATTTTTAAGAGTACCTGTACCCCTGTATATTACCTGTACCCCTGTATATTACCCGTACCCCTGTATATTACCCGTACCCCTGTATATTACCTGTACCCCTGTATGTTACCTGTACCCCTGTATATTACCTGTACCCCTGTATATTACCTGTACCCCTGTATATTACCCGTACCCCTGCATATTACCCGTACCCCTGTATATTACCTGTACCCCTGTATGTTACCCGTACCCCTGTATATTACCTGTACCCCTGTATATTACCCGTACCCCTGTATATTACCTGTACCCCTGTATATTACCCGTACCCCTGTATATTACCCGTACCCCTGTATATTACCTGTACCCCTGTATATTACCCGTACCCCTGTATATTACCCGTACCCCTGTATATTACCCGTACCCCTGTATATTACCCGTACCCCTGTATATTACCTGTACCCCTGTATATTACGGTCCAACAGGAAATTGTCCAAAAGCTTCTTGAATGATTCCACACTCTTAGCTGAAATCACTTCCGGTGGCAGTGAGTTCCAGACCCTGACCGCTCTAAATGAAAAGAACTCCCTCTCACTGACTATATCCTCTGAATTCCTCCCCCCCAAACACCACCATTCCTTACCCACATGGACACCAACAAACCAATAAATGGTTACTGAATGCTAAATGTGTTTTTTTTGGTTGTATCTTGGTTAGTTTGGGGCGTTTCCCTTCTTATATCAGAGTACAGAGCAATGTTCATCCCAGTCATGATGTGTAACAGATTCGTCATATCAGTATTTCTGTTGGTGACAATGTCTCCCCATCCTCTCCCCTCCCTGGTAGGAGCAGTACATCTTCCTCTACGACGCCTTGCTGGAAGGTCTCCTCTGCGGGAACACCATCGTTTCGGTCTCGGACATTCAAAAACACATCCGCCACATGTCCGTGCGGGATAACAGGACCAAGATGAGCGGATACGACAAGGAATTCCAGGTACCGGAGTCGGCTGTATTCTCTTATTTCCTCTTTACTGTTCAATCCATAACATCCCAACCGAGGAACCGTACGAGCCGCCATTACTGAAAGGGGGATCGATATAGTGGAAGGAAAGACCGATATGTAGAGCCAGTGGTTCCAACAAGGCAAAACCTCATCACCCATCAGCTTGTCCATTCCACCACCAACACTGAACACCAATGTGTGTCCAAAATAACCCGACCCTAATGTAACTTATCAATGGTGATGCATCATTCAAGCATACATCTGTACGGGTTGTCTTGTCTGATGTTATCTGCCCATTCCAAGCATAGTGACAGGTTCTCTTGACAAGTCAGCTGCCAACCCCAATCCCCTGCATTCCCCTATCCACCACCATCCACCACCATCCAACACAATCCACCGCAATCCATCACCATCCACCACCATCCACCGCTATCCACCACCATCCAACACAATCCACTGCCACCATCCAACACAATCCATCACCATCCATCACCATCCATCACCATCCACCACCATCCATCACCATCCACCACAATCCATCACCATCCACCACCATCCAACACAATCCACCACAATCCATCACCATAATCCACCACCACAATCCACCATAAATCACAATCCATCACAATCCACCACCATAATCCACCACAATCCACCACCATCCATCGCAATCCACCACCATCCATCGCAATCCACCACCATCCATCACCATCCATCACCATCCATCACCATCATCCACCACCATCCATCACCATCCACCACCATCCAACACAATCCACCACAATCCATCACCATAATCCACCACCACAATCCACCATAAATCACAATCCACCACAATCCACCACCACAATCCACCACCATAATCCACCACCATCCATCGCAATCCACCACCATCCATCGCAATCCACCACCATCCATCGCAATCCACCACCATCCATCACCATCCATCACCATCCATCACCATCCACCACCATCCACCACCATCCACCACCATCCACCACCATCCACCACCATCCAGCACCATCCAGCACCACCGACATCCACCAACATTGAAAACTAGAAAGAAAAGAAGACAAAAGTTTTCTACTGTAAGTCATCGGAGATAATGAAATCTTTGGGCGGTTTTATCTTTCAGGTTCTGCAGAAACTCTCAGAATTATATCAAATCTATCAGTGTAAAGAAGGGAAGAAGCCCGAAAATCATGAGAAGAATCAATACCCCAACATCCTGCCAGGTAATACCACTGTTGGGTCATAAAGGGGAAAAGGGGAACTCTGACGTGATATTGGGCCCATTTATATTTTTTACTTTTTAATTGAACATTCTTTGTGTTTAAAATGTTTCAATTAAAATATTTTAATTTTACAAATAAAGATTTGTATTTAAAATGTATTATTTAGCACAAACCAACACACACACACACACACACACACACACACAGACACACACACACAGACAGACACACACACACACACACACACACACACACACACACACAGCAGTATCACTTCCAGATACAATCATCATAATAAACAATTACACTTATCTGCAGAGGAACAAATCCATAATGTATCTCAGAAACAGGCAATACCACCACCTAAGTCTAGAACTACACAATTTTATTTTGCAAATATCACAAATATCAGAACAGAGGAGACCGAAAAATACTAAAAAATAAATAAATTGTCAGAAAGAAGAAAAGGAACAGAGAATGCGGGGAACTAAGAAGTAGAAAGGGGGGACAAAAGTACTGGATACAAATAAATATTTAATAGAGGGAGCACCTGTGACACTGGGGTCACACAACATTACCGGTGCTCTAAAAAGAGGGAATAGTTGAAAATGTTTGATTTTAGGACTGACTGTCCCTCTCTCTCTAATTTAAAATCCACACAGCCCCCATTTAAACAGAGCAGGAAGGAGGGCGAATATCAGCTTGAGTTGTTGGGCTCTATAAACAACTTACTTTTTTCTTCAGGAATTTAAAGGAGAACTATGGGGGGGGGAGGGGGGGAGGGGCTTTTCACTCACCTCATAGTTCTAGCCGACCTGTGACAATGAGACTGTCACAGGTCCGCTCAGTACATCTGCAGGTGAGA